AGAGGAATGGAAAAAACAAAATGCTTAAATAAAGTTACAGGTTGATCCATTGTAACAATGAGATGAACTTTACACCTTCAGTGGCAGGGGGTGGGGGTGGGGGTGCAGTGTAGTTGTGGAGTGTGAGGGAAGGGATGGTAGGAGAAAAACAAAGGATGAGGCAAAAATGCTCAATAGGAAATGTACTCATTATCTTGATCATGTAATTCTAACCCCTCTGTACAGTATTCTTACAATAAAAATGTTCAAAAAAGAAATGTTCTCATAACATTATGTATGTAACTGTATCCCCTCTGTACATCATCTTGACGGTAAAATTAAATTTAAGAAAAAGCAAAGGAAAAACAGACAACACTTGTCACCATCTAACCAATAAGAGCTGAGCCCCATTCCTCTCATTCTCCTCTCTGATTAAGGTTATTTTCTAACTTTCCTTAAATGTGAACAGGTTTCCCTTATTTGCAATAACTAGTGAATGTCTGAGACAAGCAGAAGCAGTCAGATACGTTGATGTAAGGCTAAATGAACCCCAGGATAAGGATTCAATGTTTTTTTCTTTCTTGCGATTGTTTCTAACATATTTATAAATGATTTCTTTGTTGCTTTGCATGTCCCTTCCCCATAGTATAACCCCTGTTTTCACTGTACTTGAAGTTGGTATAATTTGTGGAGGGGAAGGGAAAAAACAAATTGTTTTTAGGGATACAGGTAGACCCATTGCAACAATGAGATGTATAAGAAGTTATGTCGAAAAGGAACTTTACAACATTGGTGGAGGGGGAGGTGAGAGGGTGGAGGGGGGTGGGTGGGGGAGATGGGAAGGGATGGGAAGGGGAAACAAAGGAGGAGGCAACAATGCTTGATAAGAAATGTACTCATTACCTTCCCTTGTAATCCCTCTATATGGTATTTTCACAATAAAATATATGTATATACATATATTTAAAAAACAAACATAAAAATCCAAACAGATGGTGCATCCAGTACTGTTTCTGTTAAGCATGCTGCTGCCTTCTAAAACTACAGAATTTTAAGGAACTGTGGAGAAGCAGGGATCCCACTGAAAAGGAACTCTAACAAAATTAAAGCTCCTTTCTAACATTGGCATTTTAGGACATTTCAGCCTCCTATGGGCAGATGACAGACTTACAGGAATAAGAATGTGCATGTTCTGTGCAAATATTCTATCTGTCCTTTGCCGCCATCTTGTCCTCCTCCACAATGTGCTGGCTCATGTTGTTCTACATAGAAGTTCTTTGAAAGTCAGAATCCAGTCAGCCAGTGACTTTTCTAGTTCCTGCATTTAAACACAAGAAAGAGGGTATAAAGAAAGTCTTCATTCTATTTGATGTTGGTATAATTTGTGGAGGGGAAGGGAAAAAACAAACCGTTTAACTAGGGACACAGGTGGACCCATTGCAACAATGAGATGTACAAGTCTTTATGTCGAAAAATGAACTTTACAACTATGGTGTTGGGGGGGGAGGATCGGGTGGGGCGAGAAGGAGAGTATGGGAACAGATGGGAAGGGGAAACAAAGAGGAGGCAACAATGCTTAATAAGAAATGTACTCGTAATCTTGCCCATGTAATTGTAAATCCTCTGTACGGTATTCTCACAATAAAAAAATAAAATATAAAAAAGAAAGCCTTCAACTCAAGCTGCTGCTGTTCCCATACCTATAAGATAATCCTTTGATTAGACTCAAGGGGAGGAGGACCAGTCAAGGAAACGGACCATAGGAATGAAGACCTACCTTGGTGGCCAGCCTCAAACCAAGTTGCTCTGAAAAGAACATTCCTTCCTGCTTTCCTTTTCATTGC